TGATATTAGGTAACCCTATCACCAAGTCTTTAGAGACTAATTTGTTAAGCTGATTTAGACTTGCATGACCAAGTCTTTTGTGCCACAGGAGGGGATCATTAACCAACACACTCAAACAAGTGAGTTCATTTTCTGAAAGAGTGGACAAATCTACAATGTAAATATTGTTAACTCTTTTTCCCTGCAAAACAATCTTGTCAGTGGTAAGGTTAATCACAAAGCATTTGGTGGAGGTAAAAGCCACAAGGTTACCTCTGTCACATAGTTGTGACACACTTATTAGGCTATATTTCAAGCCATCTATCAGGTAGACATTCTCTATGGAATGAGAATCTGTTTTGCCTACCTTTTCAACCCTAATGATCTCACCTTTCTTTCCATTACCAAAGGAGACATTACCTCCTTTTAAGTCCTCAAGTGAAAGGAACTGGTCCTTGTCCCCAGTCATATGTTTTGAGCAGCCACTATCCATATACCATATTTGGCTCCTCCCTTTCACTTGGACCTGCAAAAGAAAATCAGGGGTTAGTCTTAGGAACCCAAACTAGTTTGGGTCCCTTTCTATAAGCAAAAGGGTGAATCAAATTCCTTCTTGCCCATCCAGGTAGCTTACTTTTTTCTTGAACAAAAGCTTTGTTCTTTTGACTGGCCTTTTCTTTTGCCTTACATTTATATTTGTAATGGCTAGTCTTACCACAGTGTGTGCAGATTTTATTTTCAGGAAGTGTGAGGTACTTGCTTTTAGGATCCCATTTTGGAGCTTGAGTCCTATAGCCAAGTCCTCTTTTGTTGCTACTGTGATGCTCTTGCGGCCAGGAGAGTGCATCAGAAGCCTTGTTCCACTTGCACGTTCTGTCTAGTTCATGTTTCACCTTTCCTAGATCTTCCTTTAAGCCTTTGATGAATTCATCTTTCTTATACAATTCATCTTTCATTTTTCCCAAATTTTCTTCTAGAGTGAGATATGTGTGATCACCTTTCTTCTTTCCTATTCCTAATTTCAGTTTTAGGTTTTCAGACCTAAGTTCTAGGACACTGTTGTCAAGTTCAAGAACCTGGTTCGTCAACTCAGCTTTTTTGTTATCACTCTAATTTGCCCTAGACTCTAGACTTTTGCATTTTGCTTTTAGGATCACACATTTCCTAGACAGAACTTCCTTCTCATTATTAATTATTTCAGATTCATCAATGAAGTCTAGTAATAGCTCAGCCAACTTTTCTTTAGACAAGAATTTAATCTTGTCTTTGAGATGAAGAATAATTACCTCTTGTTCATCATCTGATTCTCCGATGGCCATCAGTGCTTGCTCTTCTTCAGCTTCATCTTCTGAGTCTTCATCTGAGGTTTCTCCCCAAGCAGCAACCATAGCCTTGGTTGAACCTTTGTTTCTTTTTGGTTGAACCTGTTCCTTCTTCCTGTTCCTTCGTTCAGTTCTTTCTTTCTTCCACTCAATTTCCCATTGAGGGCAGTTTTTGATCATGTGATCAGTCTTACCACACTTGTAGCAACCCTCATTGGTCTGTTTCTCGTTTCTCGGGAGCTCTTGTCTTGTTGAAGGTTGTACCTCTTGAAGAACCCTTTCCTCTCATCAGGTACTTTTTAAAATCTCTAGTGATCATAGCCATCTCATCATCTTCCAGATCTAAGCCTTCAGCAATTCTGAGAGCTAAGCTTCTCTCCTTCTTGGGTGTATCCATCTTTATGGTTTGCCTTCTCATTTCATAAGCAGTCAGATTTTCAATCAGTTCATCCAGTCTGAGAGTAGCAATATTCTTGGATTCCTGAATAGCAGTGATTTTGCTTTCTCATGTGATTGGCAGAACCCTTGTCAGAATTTCTCAACCTTGTCTTCTTCAAGAATAACCCTTCCAAGAGACTTAAGTTCATTTGTCAGTGTGGTGAACCTAGTATACATCTCCTGGATAGTTTCTCCTTCCTTCATAGTAAAATTCTCATAATGAGAATACAGCAGTGTTCCTCTAGACCTCTTCACTTGAGGTGTTCCTTCATGAGCCACTTGCAAGGTGTCCCAGATTTCCTTAGCAGTGGTACAACTTTGGATCATGCTGTACTCAGCAGGACCTAGTCCACACACAAGCCATTTCTTGGCTTTAGCATTTTTCTCCCACTTCCTCAATTCTTCAGTAGTGCAGTCAACCCTTGTCTTTGGCACGTCCACTCCTTCAGCATTCTTCTTTGTAGTTGCTAGGGGACCATTAGTAACTATGTCCCAAAGTTCATAGTCTTCTCCAATGATCTGATCCCTCATCCTGTTCTTCCACCAAGAATAGTATTGTCCATTGAAGAGTGGAGACCTAGTAGTGGATTGCCCTTCCCAGTTCCTAGGTGGTGCACTCATGTTGATCTTTTCCTAAGGTGTTAGCCACTTCAAGGATAACCTGCTCTGATACCAATTGATGTTCTAAACGTCAATACCACACAAGAGGGGGGGGGGTGATTTATGTGGTACCCAATTTTCGCTCTAGAAGAACCTGGTTCTTCTAGGTGTACTTACTACTACTGTTTGCGGAATTAAAAGTGCATAAAATAAAGAACTCAGAGATTTTTACGTGGAAAACACCTGGCTCAAAAGGTGAAAAAACCACGACCTACTACTCAGTAGGATTTTCCCAAACTTCCACTAAAATCACTGAGCCAAAACAGCATTTACAAAATTCTTGTAAACCTAAGGATTAAACTCTAATCCCAGTGTGGCACACAGCCTCAACTGTTGTGACACTTTCAAGTTAACTCTAACTTGAATACTCAAAGTACCTAATACAATTGCTTCTATGAAAGTTGGAAAGGTACAACTTTAAACCACCTACTACAATTGAACTAGAATAAGAATAAACATAATGGAATTGGTTCTTCTATCTTGTCCAAGTAGCTTCAGGAATGCACACTTGAATTCCACATAAATTGCTTGCAAAATTGCCTCGCTCTTTTGCTCTCAATTTAGTTTCACTTCTGCGTTTGTGCAACACCTGTAAAAGAGAACAATCATTGTTATTTAATGAGTTAGTAATCAGAGTTTGATTGAGACTCAATTGCTGATCCTTTGTCGAATTTGAGTCCTAGAACACTACAAACTCCAACCCTTATCCTTGATCCGGATTAAGTTCTCTTCACATTAGGAGACTTCTTCTCCTCATCCTTTATGCAACCTTTTCGATCAATTCAGAAGATATTGCTGCTTGATCCTTGAGTCTTATCTTCTTCACGTGCATCTCACATGTGTAAGTAGATAACCACTGTGTCTCACATCATGAACCTGGTCCATGACTGATTTCATTTGTCAATCTTCAAAACTTCATCTGAACTTGGGCCAACAAATTTCCCCTTTTTGATGATGACAAACTCCGTTCTTTTACTGATCAGAGAACTTGTAGAACTCAGCTTAATTATCAACACTTTAACTTAGAAATCTTAACTTATCATTAAGGACCAGGTTTAATCAAGTTATAAATATCACTTTAGTTCAACATACAAAGTAAAGCACAATATCTCTTCCCCCTTTTGACATCATCGAAAAGTTGCATATATTGTGAACCTAGGTATTAATAATTACTCATGGCCACTAGGGCAACTGCAAGTGAAAACATGCTTTAATTAATCAACAACCAGCAAACAAAATTAATGATTAAGATCAGAATCTGCAATAGAACAAGAGAAATAGCAAATTGTCATTGATTAGAGATGCCTCCATACACAGACCACAAAAAGAAAGAAAAAAACTTCCAACCATGAGCAAAAACACAAAAAAATCCCTAACTGGGTCAGTGGGGGGGGGGGGGTTCTAGATTGGTTCAAAGACAAGAATTGGAGGACCTAAGGCTTGGAGGAACTAGAGGGCTGGGTTTGGAGAAGGTTGAGCATATTCTGAAGCATTCCATCACTCTTTTCCTTTTCCTTTGCTAGCTCCGATTTAAGGCCATTTCTCTCATGTTCCAGTTCAGCAATACGGGCCTGAAGCCTAGCAATTTCAGCATCTTTTGTTCCACATTCTTGAACCAATGCCCTAACCTTGCTATTCACAGGAGTCTTCAGAGATGAACCAGGTTCAACTGGGGTGGCATTCACTGGATAGTCACAAGCCATAAGAGTCTTGACACCAAAGTGCTCCTTGCTTGATGCCATTTCTCACTTCTTCAAAGGCACATTTAGCCTTTCCAGAACAGTAGTCAATAGGAACCTATATGGTGTGGCATGAGCTTTGGAGCCATTGATGACTCTATCCAGTAGTTTGACAATAAAAGCAGGCCAGTTTATCTGCATTCCTCTCACCAGGCACTCCATGAGGACCAAGTCCATGTAATTGGCAGTGTGCCTTCTCTCCTGCCTTGGCAGCAAGCATTTTCACAAACTCAAATAGCACCTTGTGCTCAGCCCTCATCTCACTCTTCTGAACAAACCTGGCTTCAGGCACATCTTCAGCAGTTGCAGAATCACAAAAGTTTCTAGTGATTTGGAGTGCAGTAGGAAGAGAATCCAGACAAGGCCACCTTTGCCTAGTATAATCATCATATCCCACACTGGGAATGTCTAGAATATCACCCAATTTAGGTGCATCAAACTGCACCTTTACTCCTTTAACCATGCTGGTGACAACCCCATTCTTGACAGTGGCATTTGCCATGAACTCAATCAGCTCCTTCCTGGCCAGTTTCCATCCAATTGAAGGACCATGTCCTTCCATCCTTGTGCAGCTAGGGCATCCACCAATCTTATCATACCTGGCTCCTCCAGGTCTTTCAACAACCTACCTTTCAAGATCTTTCTCCTGCCAAAAATGGCAAATCTATCCTGTTCTTTCTCAGACTCCTCCTCTTCTTCTTCTCCACTCCATTCTTCTTCTTCTTCTTCAATAATTTTCTTTTGTTTTCCCTTCACAGCAGACCTAGTTCTTTGAGCCAACGAGGACTCAGCAGATACAGGTACAGAGGATGACTTCTTGGTCGAGGTCTTGGAACTCTTTGGTTTGGGTGTTGGAACCTTTTCAGTTTTCTTCTTTCGTGATGGACCAGGTCCATCTCCTCTTCTTCTTCTTCTGCAACCTCAGCACTCTCCACAACTTTTTCCTTTCCTTTTCCCTCTTTTTCTTCTTGCTTTCTTCCAGTGCTTTCTGCAGCTCTTCCTCACTTTGTTTGACCCTGCTTCTTGTTGCTCTTCCCTTTGAAGGGACAGTAGACTTAGGAGATGACACTTCGTTTTTCTTTGTTGGCTTGGAAGCAGTTGGAGCTTTTAGGGAAGAAGCCTTGCGTTTCTTTGGATCATAGCTAGCCCCAACCTTCTTCAAGATGTCAGCTAGGGTTTCTTCAACAAATGAACCATGTTCATCTTGTTGTTTACTCAAATGAAGAAGACCTTCAGCAGCCTCCCCGGAGCCACTTCCCCCTGACTTATTGCCACTCTCCTCTACCCTTCCACAGATTGCAAGAATTTTGTCTTTCCTTTTCTTTCCCTTTCTACTAGACTCAGCCTCCTTTACATCTTTCAAAGGACCAACCAAAACAAACCTATTATCTTCCTTTTCTACCACATCAGAAAATACAAAACAAGTATCAACCTCACCAGGAGTTTCTTGATTTTTATCAGTATCAAAAGACCCATGTTGTTCTCCTTCACTGACAGAAATAAATGCTTCAGACTCAGAGCTTGAGTCGGATTCTTTAGCAGGACTTTCCTTCTTCTGACTAGCCTTCAATTTTTCATTTAGAGCTTTCCTAAAAGCTCCAGAAGCTACTGTTTTTCTGGCTAGCATTTTTTGCCTACGAAAACTAGGTTTTGGGTTTTCAACAGGAGGAGTAGATGAGGATGTGTTTGAGGGAGACACTGGTGGGGGAGTTCCAGGGTTATCTTGAGGGTTTGTCATGGTGAAGGATTTCTGGAGAATTTTGGG